AAAGCATTGTCCTTAAATCTTAACAAAATTTCATTGTTTCTATCCTCTTGAAAGTAGGTGAAGGAATACTTAAATACTTAATTTCCCATAGAGATTATTCTAAAATGTTTTTGGAGAGAGAAGAGAGAAAAAGACTTGTCAGTTTCAAAAGGCCGCATTGTAAATTTTACTTAAACTTATTTCCTACGGGGATGATTCATTAAGAATCACAGGTAACCTCAATATTTATAAAATGATTATTAGCAATTTGTTCGCTTTAAGTGGTATGACTTCAACAGATTATAACATGCAACTTGAAACTAATAATATACATGCATATTTAAAAGAAACTCATAATCTCCTTTTCTGAAAGCTGAATAAAGGCTTGAATTCATTGCCCAGTTGCTTAAGAAATTATGTCTTTCATTCTTGCTAAGATGTCACTTGTGATTTCAAATTTAAAAAAATCAAACTATGATATATGCTCATTAAAATGGGTTCATTCTAATTGAGTTTATATATGCCATTTATTTTGAAGTAAATTTATAAATCACTTAAACTTTTAATTAAACAAGCACACAATTTAATTTACTCTCTTGCATATGCACATTCTCAGCTACTCTATTCTTCAGTTCTGTGCCAGCACCCCCGCCCTCTCCACACTAGAAAACAAACAAACAAACAAAAACACCTATACTTAAAACATTTAGAGAAAGGGCATGTTAGTTAAACAGTTATAGTCAACCCAATACCAGAAAATTGCTTATTAGTACAATCTGTAAAAAACTACATGTTTAATTGTTGTTAATGATCTCCAGCATCAGAGGAGACTAGTTTGAAATATACGTTAGTCAAGCAAGTTGAGAAAGTAGCAAGTAGGAAAACAGACATAAAACCCAACACGTTTCAAATTTGCAGAATCAGACTAACCTCATGATTTCACAATTATTTAGTCAAGATTATTTTTAAGGACTAGTATGATTTATGTATTTAGTTCACTTCTCATTGCTAATTCAAACCACTGGCTTCATTTGACAATCACTAGTATTAGTAGTGAAATGTTTTACTCTTCTATGCAAGATATATCTTTATAGGTTGTCAATTTTTCCATTTCATTTCCCTTAAGAACTAAATCAACATTAATAAGAACAGTGAGAATTCTAGGGTAAAGTGAAACTTGGAAGAGGATTTAAATAATTCTAAAAGCTATTCATCATGCTTCTTGCTATAACAGATAATACTCCATGATTCCATACCAAAAATACTTAGGTTTCTTATCATTGTTATTCTGGGTCATGTGTGTATTCCTTAAGTTTGTATGACATCTGCAAAGAAAAGTGGATATTTTGCCTAATAGAAGCTTTTGCAATAGTAATATGGACAACAAAGAATTAGTTTCCAAGAAAAGTTGGCTTGATTTCAGGGACTTCATATCCTTTTCCACACCTGGGTTTAGGATTTGCAGTAGGCAAATTGATCTTTTTCCTTTAATTTAACCAATCCCAAGTGCATTTGTAATCACAGATTTTAACAGTATTAGAAAGTAGTATTACTACAATCAATATAACGAACTGTTTAAAAATCTGAATTCTCAGTGAAGAAAATGCATTAAAATTAGGTAAGCTTGTTTGAATCTTCAAAGAAATTCACTGTTTTAAAGTGTGACAAGTAGCTACTTCAGGACCCAAAAAGGTGGAAAGAAAGACTGTCACAAAGTTACTGTCATATTATCTGATAATTTGTTAAATGGAAAAAAGAGAAAGGATTTTTAGGCTTACAACTACTTCCAACTTTCCAGTCTGACCGTTTTATGCTATCAATGTCTTTTCCTCAAGTAGAAGGATAATGTAAATGGAATGATTTGTAAAGAGATTAAAAAAAAAACCCCAATATCTAACTAGCCTAAATTAAAATCTAGAGCACCCGAAGGACATAAGTCATGCATTGTGAAGCAAGAGAACACAGAGCCAGAATGAACAAACACTTGCACAACTATCGGTTTATCACCACTAAGTTGCATGAACATATGGTCACTGAAGAGTTTATTTGAAATTCAAACTACATCTAAGTTCTATTTTCTAATTCAGTATTTTAAAAAATGTATTTTGTGTAATTAAAAGTTGAATTCATAGGACCTTTTCAACCCTATTTAATTTAATAGAAATTTCTCTCTGGGACAAAAATATTACAAAAGCTTTCTCTTGTATATGCAAGGCTTTCAAAATTTAAAAATATCAAAAAAATGGGCTTTTTTTTCCCCCACCTATAGCAAAAATAAAATACTCCTACACTGGAAAAAAAATCAGGTGGTTTTTTCTTCCTTTCCCTCACATCTTGGTCAAAATTCATTCTAGGAAGTATTAAACAACACTGAAAAGAAACTGATGACAGAAATTAATTTATAATTTAGGATGTATGGCATCACTAAGCTTCTACATTCATAGCAAAAATTCTAACATTTCTAGTACTACAAAAATTCTAACATTTCTAGTACTACAAAATCATACTGACATTATATTTTTATTGTGTTGCAAACTGACTTTTAATCATACAACAAAAAAAGCCACATATTTAAGTGTCACTCTGGGTTGCATGGCTGTAGCATAAAAGCATCTATTCTTTCCCAACTACCTCCCTGCCCCCCAAGTATTCCACAAGTTGAAGAAGAAAAGTCTTAGGACTAGACCTACAGAGTGTGATCCCAGGCCTAGAGAGTGTTATCCATATTCATTTTCTAAGTTGTACAGAATAAAAGAGCCTACATGTACCTGTCTACTCATAAAAGGCAACTGATATTAGAAACTTCATTTATTTTGTCCTGGCACCTAGCATTTCAAAATCTTATTTTAAATAAACTTAAAAAAAGAAAAAGAGGAAACCAAACTCTTACAAAGAAATACGTTAAGAATATCTGTCTTTGCAAAAATATTTCTAGGACATTTTTCATTTAGAAAATGGTATGAAAAGGTTTACTGTTTTCAAGTCCTTGAGGCTTAAAATATATTTGATAATCTAAATTGCAGGCAATGGAGAACAGTTTCAGCCAACTGTGGCGCACAATGGCACATTTACAGAATTTTAAATATTTCTTTTAATAATTGATGTAGTCATTTTGAATCATTCTGCATAGGATATCAGGTGTGAGCAGATTGCATTAACGCTGCTTAAACATTTCAACTTGTCAGTATGGCCAACTCGATTTCGGAAATATTTGCAGTATTTTCCCATCGAAACAGTAATAAAGGCAAAATAAATATATGCCACTACTTTATAATCACCGAACATTAATGAATATTTTATGTCTTTTTAAATCTCCCTGTTTAATTTAAAAGGGTGAAATTAAGTCTCCTCCTTGCAATATGCCAATTATCTGTAAATCAAACAATAACTTGGCCATTATGCTCCTTTTTGTTAATATAAGAGAAGCTAATTTGAAAACACTGAATGGCATTTTTAGACTATCAGTTTAATAGTCCTTTCTGCCCTCTTGTGGAAGAAAATTGAAACACACTCAAACTATAGAAACTGGAAATGTTTAAAAAAAAAAAGTTAAAATTTTGGCTATAAAAATTTCAGTCAGAAAGGAAAATAAAGAAGTGTATATTTATCCATCATGCATTATACTAGTCTTCAATTTAAAAAAGTAAATCAGAATGAAATTTACTTCATATTATTTTTGCTTTTCTTGATTAAAATGGAGTTACTTGTTGGAAACTAAATTTCCTTATTTAATTACATCCAATATATAACTTAAATTTTACCACCATAAAGTTACCAGAATAAATTCTGCAATATAGCCATAGTTAAACATTATTTTTAATGTAAAAGCAACAATGATTCTCCAAGGAATTAAAACTTTCAATTTAGAAACTAGAACACCCATTGTAGACGTTAAGAATGAAATGGCAGTTAATATGTTTAAACCCTGGGGAAAAAATCAAATTCAAGCTTATGATTCAAAGTATGGGCGGAGAAAAATTTACTAGTCAACCAACTATTCAAGTGATAAAGAAAATAAACTTCAAACAGTGATTTATTTATGGCAAATTCAGAAGTTGAAATTCATTGGCAAAACATCAAAAAAGGAAACCATTAATAGTCTAACCATTGCTAAAACAATTCATATATGTCTGAAAAATGACTAGGTGAAAACAACTCATTCTTTCATTATGACATTAGTAATTATTTTAACCAATGTAGTCCAAGAAAAAAATTATGAAATAATCCAAGATTAAACATAATTCTCTTTATAAAAATATTAGTAGACAAATGATTGTTGTCTTAACAACTAACAAGAGGTAATGTGTTATAACTGTCATTTCAATGTTTCTAAACACAAGTCCTGTCAAACCCTTGAATATTTTCCCCCCCACGGAGATAAATTACTGGCTTTTAAGTGGGTGGGGCCACAGGCAAGAAGGTACCTTTTCTCTCTTGGGGGCGGTTCTTTTTTGAAACAGTGGCCCTGGTTGGCCACATTGAAGAAAATATTTACACTATAAATAGACTCTTCTCAGATATTCTGAGCTAAATGACTGACAGTCTCCAACAGCATTTCACGAATACTGTCCAACGTTGGGATTGAGCTACTTAAGCAAAGCTTTCTCAAATTCCTTTTGGAAAAAGCCATGTTGTAAATAATGTATTTGAAAGCAACCTTTCAAATAAAGTATAAGCATGTTCGAAAATGCATGTCGTCCACAATTTCCAAATTAATATTTTAAATCATTACTATAAAACCATAAAATGCATTATGTAATAACAATGAGTTATTTCTAAGCAAGGTTTTAAGTTGACTATTTTAAGAGTTATCAAGAGCTCTCATTTATAACATCTATCTTTCTAGGTCAAGTCATTTAATATATCTACAGTAATCATTGATGCTCCAGTTAATTAAAATTAAGAACCCAATAATGAAACATAAAGAGAGTTTCCAACTAGAACAGATAAGCCCTCTTTAACAGGGTCAACATTAGCTATAATGAGCTACCTTTATTCCTTAGCTGCGAGACATAACTCACCTCTTGAATAGTACTGCTTCCTGAGAAGTTCAGGTTGTACTCCCGCTGGACTTCTCGGTGGGTGATGATCAGCATGAAGTTTTGATTTAATGACTCCTGCAGGGCACTGAAAGGGTTGAAAGAAAAACAAGGAACTCTGAGATGAACATGTTCTAGCTTGCTTTACAGCTAGCTGCAAAAACCCCAGGAGTACCATAACCTCCACACAGGCATGTCCGGGCCCAATGTTATCATCTCTTCAGCTCCTAAAGGCAAGAGAGCATGCTGAGAACAACCAAGGGGAGCTAACCTGTTAACTCCTTCTCTACCAAGGTGTTTTTAAACTTCAATTCTAAACACTTTGCATACATAAGAATTTTCTAGAAGTCATAGGCTATTGTCTACATATGTATTTCCTCCAAGAGAACCAAATTTTTCAATTATATCAAATTCCAAATATAATACTAAAATGTATACTCAAATGCTCTGGTTCAAATCCAAGTGAAACAGCTGTTTTAGAAGAACAGAAATATAAAATACTGTTTATACTCATAAACAGTTGTGTAAGAATAGAAATATGGTTTCAGTCAAAATTCAGAAGATACTGACTGAAAACTACAGAATTTTAATTGTTATCCCCAGATTCCTTCAAAATATCTGTGATTTCACTTAGGACTCAGAAATATACAGAATTTAGACACTGGGAGAATTCAGAGCAACATTAACCAAAATGTTAGAAATGTATCAGAACTATGAAGACTAAATGAAATTAACCACCTAAGACAAGAAATATAAGTCATGGTTCTATTTGTTTATGACAATTTTAAGAAGCACTGTTAACACTCCAGAAAATAAAAATCTGTCACCATTATGTATGAATAATCTATACTGGCAGCCTCAGGTATAACTGTGCCAGACTGGTGGAGGTGGGAAGACAATTTGGGTGTGCTACACAGTTCTGGCCTTTATTATTCTTTCTTTGCTAATCTGTAACTATATGATAAACATACATTCAACAGAAGATTAGGATTAGGCAGTTAATCTCTGTCCTACTGTCTCCCATAGCGTTCCCAGGTTAATTACAGACTAAAAATACCTAGGAAACACCAATATATAGCATAATATATTACTGATCAAAATCAAAGGAAATAATACCTAACTAAAATAGAGTTTCTTTAGCAGGAACCTTTGTCACTGTATCCATAATGCCTGTCACACTATAAATATGTATTAAATAATGAATAAATGGTGAATTTCCAGAAGGCAAGAGTCTTATTCATCTTTGTATCTCACAAAGCAATGTTACTTTCTGGAAAACTACTATAGGTATTAAGATTTTGATTAATTTATTTATCAACATTAACTCAATGCCTTACATTATTCCATGTGCTAAGAATATCAACCCAAATAATACACAGGTCCTGTCCATAAAAGACTTCACAATCTAAGAAGGTAGACAAATATATAAACAGCCAGAGTATAATGCAATAGGTACAACTGAGAAATTGAAAAAAGTATAATGAAAACATGGAAGGAAGTGCTCAATTCTGTCTCTGTGAAAGAGGGAAATGGTTAAGGAAAGCTTTAGAGGAGAAGAAAAATATAAGTTGAAATATGCTGGATAAGTAGGACCTCTGTGTTTATCATTTGGAAGACAAGAAATTTTTGCTTCATCTGGGAAAGAGAGAAGGGTGGCATTTTTTAGACAAGGAAATAATAAGTGGCAGAACGTAGTAAGTTCACTCACTCAGTTAACAAATATTTATTGAGTACCTACCTATGTTTATGACATTGTTCTAGATGCTAGGGGTTCAGCAGTGAACAAAAAAACAAACAAACATGATCCCTGCTTTCATGAAACTTACATTCCAGTAAAGGATACAAACAATAAATAAATGAGTAAGCAATTTTAGAGAATACTAAGTGCCATGAAGTAATAAAATAGGATTACAATTAAAAAGGTAACAGAGGGACAGCGTGAAGGGAATTATTTTCAACAGAACAGTTGGGGAAGGCATCTCTGAGGAAGTGCCATTTAAGTTGAAGCTGTTATGATAAGAAAGAGATAGCAGTAGTCTGATCATGTAGGTCCTTGCAGACCATAGTAAAGAACTTGATATTTATAGTAATTGCACGGGAAAACCACTGGAGGTTTTAAACAGGGAAATAGTTAACAGCTGACTTACATTTACATGTATACAATATTATTCTGGCTGTTCAGGCTACAGTGAGGAAACAGTAAGGCAGGGAGAGCTAGAAGAGTTAGGAGGCTAGCCCTGGTAAGAAGTGGTGGTGACTTGGACTAGGGCAGTAGAGGCAAAGACAGTAAAGAGTTGTCAGGTTCAGATATCTTTCACAGGTAGAAGCCAGACAAATTACTGATGGAATGAGAGAAAAACATAACCTCAAATTTCTGGCCTAAGCAAATGGAAGGACAGAATTGGATTTAACAAGGAAAACTGGGGTGGGAACATATTGGTTGGGGAAATTGAGAATGAAGTTTTGGACATGTTAAGATGCCTATTAGACATCCAAAAAGAGATACCATGTACAGCTATACAGAGGTGAAGGTCAAGGAAGACAGCTCAGAGCAGGACAGTTGGCAGCGTATAGACAGTATTTAGATTTTGTGGGCAAAAGAAATAATCTAGAGAAATAATTTGCTTAGAAAAGGAGAGAGGCCAGGATGGAGCACCAGGCATTCCAATCATTTGAAATCAAGCATAGGAGGAGGAGTCAGAGTAAAGGAGATTGATAAGTGGTCAGTGAGATAAGAGAAAGACCAAGAAAGTCTAGTATAAGGGAGTCAAAAAAAGTGTTTCAATTAGGAAGGGCATGAGCAATTACACCAACTGATGCTGAGATGTTAAGTACAATAAGGTCAGAAAAAGGACAACATTCAGAAAAAGCTCATTATGACCACAGCGAAGGGTGTGTGAAAGGCATGCAATGTGGCTCAAACAGAGGTTGGGTTAATTGTTCAATTATCTGCATGCTAAATGAATTTGGGGTCAAAAGTGGCAAGTAATGAAAAGCCTATTTGGAGTTCAAGGCCTTTCATAGGTAAACTGACTTCACAACTATTCTTCAAAATTTGGCTTTTGCTCTAGAGATTAGCTAACTTCTCATGTCAGAAACATCACACCATACTCAATTCAATCTCTGTTCATGTTATTCTCATCCTCCTTCACAACCACCCTACCAATACTGCAGCTTTCAGACCACCTTATGACGTACCATTTTTATTTATTATTGACCTCCTTTTCTCCCAATTCCTTTATCATATACTGTATTTAATAATTATAGCATATTTTGTACAGTTTGATTTGTTTCATGTGTGGAAGTCCTCAATTCAAAACTACAAGTCTTTTAAAGATAGGTATCTTATTACTCATCAGTATTTCCCTTGGCAACTAGCATAATAAAAAGTGATTCAATTGAATCCTATAAACATTTAAGGAGTAGTTAGTTCTGCATATTCTGAACTGCATATAAAGAACTACTAACTGTCATTTTTTTTTTTGAGACATTCACTCAGATAGTCATTCACAGACTGTCATTCACTATCTATGAAGTGCCATTTTATTCACAAAATTGTGGTTCAAAAAGGTCAAGTAATTGCCCAAGGTCATGTAGCCACAAAAAGATGAAACCCAGTTTCTAAATTATATTTAATTCTATGTCCTTTACACATCAGTATCCTATCTCCCAAATGGCTAGGCTGCTTTGGGGATACAAAGATGATTAAGACTCCTGCCTGCTAGGAGTTCACAATTCATTCATTCCTTCTATAATTATTTGATTCCTATTATTTTCATTTATTCATTCAGAGACAGTGTGAGTGAGGAGGGAGGGAGGGAGAGGGAGGGAGGGTAGGGGAAAGGGAAAGGGAAAGAGAGAGAGAGAGAGAGAGAGAGAGAGAGAGAGAGAGAGAGAGAATCTTAAGTGGGCTCCACACTAAGCATGGAGCCTGGTATGGGGTTCAATCTCACCACTGTGAGACCATATCCTGAGTGGAAATCAAGAGCTGGAAGCTCAACTGACTGAGCCACCCACTTGTCCCCTTATTATTGGTTATAGTCAAGATAGACTACTCATAGAATTTAAAACAGATGCGAGGATTGTGAAGAAAGGAAACAGTACTTTGAAGTAATACGAAGAAGAATGGATAGTAATTGGACACGTAGATATGGAGGGTGACTATAGGCTAGTTTGAGCAGAGATGGAGATTGGAGAATATAAGGAAAAGTGCAGAAAGCAATAAGGAAGAAGTATAAGGGGATGTGATGAAGGGTTTGTGAAAAAGAAAACTTCAAAAAATTAAACACGACCATTATGGAGGTTTCAAATGCCAGGCTAAGGAGCTCAGAATTCCAGAAGTCTTGATTATTATATAGATCCTCCTTTATCTTTACATATGGATCTACACATGTCTAATACTTTTAGTGCTTGCCTTTATGCAATTCTTTAGATATGTCTCTTGATCTTGACTGGCAGACCTGTGCAGTAATTTTGCAAAAGGTTTGTTAGGACCAGCACTGACTCAGACTACTTTAGAAGAACATCACTTTAGTGTAGTTCTACAATTCCTGGATAGTCCCGGGGCAAGGTAACTAGGCAAGAAAAAATATTTATAGGTTTAAACTGCTCAAGAGTCACAGAGCTAGATTTGAATCCTTGGCTCCACTACTTGCTAGTTGTTTTACTCTGAAATGTCAATCATACATTCTTTCAATGTATTTGCTGAATGTCCACCACATACAAGGCCCTATTTTAGGCACTTAATTACTCTGTAAATTCTGTTTCCTCTTCAGGAAAAGGAGAATAATCCTTCATAGAACTGTGAATATTAAATTTTAGAAAGCCAAGTAGAAATTTTTATTGCATATAAGTTTTAAGGTGCCCTGTTATATAACTTAGTGAAATCAGACCACTTTTTTTTTTTAGCTGTTTTATTTTTATTTTGAGAGAGTAAGCAGATTCATGGGAGGGAAGTAGCAGGGGAGGGACAGAGAAAGAGGGAGACAGAGAAGCCCAAGCAGGCTCCAAGCTGTCAGCACAGAACCCAATGCGGGGTTTGATCTCAGGAACTGTGAGATCATGACCTGAGGCAAAACTAACAGTTGG